AACATAATATATCTTATATAACATATATAACTATGCATGTAATTATATATACACTTTAGTATGCCAATAATAGTAAATAATTCTGTGAGGAAATTAAATGGTTCTTCTCTCAGAGACCACATGAAAATCCGCAGCAGGCAGGAGCTGGCCCATGGGCCTTTACACTATTTTACACACCCTTCATCCCCCACTCCTCCCCCAGTCCCCCACCTGGCATCCAGGGAAGGAGGCCACACTCTCCACACTGTCCTCCCTGCAGTTGCTCTAGAACTGGGAAGAGCGAAGTGACTTAAGTAGAGATAGTAACGGGTCTACCACTACAATGAAAGCTGTGTCATTTCTTTCTTTTTAAATTTTCATCTACTTGTTTATTTTGTTTTTGCCTGAATGATTGTCTGTGTGGCCTATGTAATACAATACCTGTGGAAACAAGAGGAGGGCATCAGGTCCTCTGGAACTGGAGTTGACAGTTTTGCGCTGTCATTTGAGTGCTGGGAACAGAACCCTGATTCCTCTAGCAACTAGAACCCTGGAAAAACAGCCAGTGCTCTTAGGGCTGAGCCATTGCTTCAGCCCCTCTGTGATTTCTTCATCAGCACCAACTGAGTGCCCGTGGTTGTGTCCAGCTGTCCAGCTGTCAAGGTTCTTTCTCTCCGAGTAGAAGTGGGCAGGGTTTCTAGCTGCGGAGTGAAGCAAACCTGTCATAGGAAGAAATGTGACCTCTGACTTTTTCTACCCTTTCTTCCTCTTTTCCACTCTTAGCTCTCTCAAGTTTCCCCACTTGCTAGAAGCTGTTTCCTCTGCCTGGAATACCCAATGCCCAGCCATGTGGTTCCCTATCCCATAATTCAACAAGCTGAAATCTTTAGCCCGTGTAGCCTCCAGGTCTCTAGCACCCAAAGCCTTCTACCCCGAGTGGAGTGTGTCCTCAGATTCTGCTCTATATCTTAATATGGAGCTGTTTAGCATATGCTAGAAGAAAATTGCTGTATTTATGTATATGGAAATGTGATATAATTTTATGAAAATTGTCAGTGCACCTTAAATTTTATTTGACCTTTTCCTATGAGGAGTAAAGAGGAAAAACATTATTCCCTGAACTATAGTAGAAAATTATATCACATTTTCTACTCGAAATGTAGAGAGAAGTACAAATCATCTTTTTATTCTCTTAATTCAAAGAGACGTTACTGGGTCAGGATAGATCTAGTGGTAAAATACTTATTTAGAATGTGCAAGTCTCTGGGTTTGATCCCCTACACCAAACTGGATGAGAAAAGAAAAGGTATTGGGCTCAGGTACAGCTCAGAGATAGACCATTTGCCTGATGGGTGCCAGGCATGACTTTGAGCCCAGCACTACTGAAAGCAAATAAACAATGAAGGAAGAGAAGCAAAGGGAAATGAATTTTTAGCAACTTCGTAAGATAAGAATTCACTATAGATTACCCAGCCAAACTGCAGAGAGGAATAGAATACTTTTTCTGTGGCATTAGTGACCAATACTTGATTATTCCCACACTGTAGATTACATTTTAGCATTTAAAATCATGTAGATTTTTGACTAAGTTTATCTGAACTCATTTTTATACTCTATTTTTATGCTTAACTTTGCATTCCTTCTTCACAATGAATACTATGAAATTATAGCTACCCAGGCCTGAAAGGATATTTTTCATTGCTTATTATATCAAAGAACTATCAATTATGTTTCAGGTTCTATATTAAGTTTTTAAAGAAGATTTTGTTTTTAGTTATGTGTGGGTGTGGGAGTACATATACAAGTGAACATAGTAGCTATGGAAGCCAGAGCCCTCAGGTCCCCCGAGACGCAGCTGTGAGCCCAGCAATGTGGGCACTGGTACCAAAGACACATCCTCCGAAAGAACAGTATATTCTCTTAACTGCCAAGGTTAATCTCCAGCCCAGGAATTTTGGCTAGTGGTGTTGACTAGAATACGCTATTGTGCATGTTAACTCAAAAGGAAAAAAAAAACACATCTATGTACTGGTAACCTAAGTTAAATTTGTAAAGCTTGAGTTTCAAAAATTTGAAAGCTATGTTTACCTGGGTGGTTGTATCAAGTTACCTTACCATCCAACTAATGCTAAAGTCAGCTTTCAGTGAATTGAATCATATGAGACCTTTTAACTGGGCCTTCGTCACCAGACCATGTTCTTTCTTTATAGCTATGTGTACTCGTGTGCTGTATACCCATGTGTGCAGGTGCAGGGGCTGGTTCACCCACATGTGGAGAGTGGGGGAGGACATCAGGTGGAACAGAGTCTTCCACATAACCTCGAGCTAGGCTGGTGACCAACAAGCCCCGGATCCTCCTATGTCCCTCAGCCCCAACAGTGCTAGGATCGCAGGAAGGCATGGTCATGTCCAGGTTTGGATGTGTATGCTGGGGATTTGAACTCAGGTCCTCATGCATGCAGAGCAAGTACTGTGAGCCATCTCTGCAGTGTTGCCTGTCTTATTCTTAGTGAAGAATTATAGAATCTTTTGAATTCTGAAAAGAACTCGCCAAGAGAACATTGTCCCATACACAGTATCATTTCTTAAGTGTAGTGCATAAGGAAATGAATTCATTCTCAGCAAACCGTTCGATGCAGTCAGCTTAGTCTGTCTGCTGAAGGGGCACATCACTAAGTGGGCAGAGAAAGAGGAGAGCACACAGAACGATTCCTTCATGGGAAGTTGAAGGACTTTTATTCCTGTTTGGCAGTTCCAGTAAAAAGGAATCAGCATTTAATAATACTGGTACACGGCATCATTCTATTTTTTTGTGTTCTATAAGGTCACTAAGTATAATTTTGTAATTCTATTGTGTAATTCTATTTTTCATTTTCTTTTTTTTAATTTTTTTTATTTATTATGTATACAATATTCTGTCTGTGTGTATGTCTGCAGGCCAGAAGAAGGCACCAGACCTCATTACAGATGGTTGTGAGCCACCATGTGGTTGCTGGGAATTGAACTCAGGACCTTTGGAAGAGCAGGCAATGCTCTTAACCACTGAGCCATCTCTCCAGCCCCCTATTTTTCATTTTCTTTTGCATTACAATTTCTATATGGTCGCTAAGTATAATTCTTTTTTTTTTGCCCCCCCCCAAGTATAATTCTTTCAACTTCATTAATGTACCCTTAGGTGCCTTTGAGGAATATGATGTCATAGGAAACGTCCATTAGGAACAAAAGTCGAAATCCCTTAGCAAGCTAAGCACTTAAAAGCCTACAGAGTAACTGTCATTTTGTTCCAACTTAACAGAACTGTAGTGTAGGTTTATCTTCTAAATATCATATTTTGGGGATGACGTAAATTAATAAATGTAGCTGTAAAAGAAATTCTGTAAGCAGTGTCACCCTTACCTCCCCAACCCGCCAGGCAGCTCAGCTCTGCACAGACAGGACGTGGTTGGCCTCTGCTGAGGCTCCTCAGAGGCAGAGTTGCAGGGCATGGGGCAATGTAAAGAAGGCAGAGAACAGAGAGATTATTCTTAGGTACAAACAGGAAGGTGTGGCTGTTCCAAATCCACAGTGTAGACAGTGGAAACTCAGGTCAGTATTCTTGGAAAGAATTCTCGACAGGAAAAAAAATCTAGAAAACCACCATACTAGCATTTTAAGTAGATGTCATCAGATGTCTGAACTCCATCTGTCTAGAATGATAGGAAACTAATTCTCTTTCCCCAAGTGAAATTGTGTTTATGATGTAACGCAGGACTTTGTGCAGACATTTTGGCAGCACACACTGTTGTGTGTGTTTAAGTTGAAGTTATGTGGCATGCATTGCAGGAAAGGAATTTCTACTAGTGTATGATTTTAATGCAGAACAGTGTTTGTTGGCCACAACTGTGGTGACAACTGGAGCAGCTGCACAGAACTGGGTCACTTGTCTGTCTTTTACCCCGACGGATTCTGACATAGGTGACAGAGCCACTGGTTTCCTTCCCCAGGTCAAAGTAAATACAGCGTTTGAAGAAATGACATGGTATGGTAAGTCAGAAAACCTAAACACATTCAAGGTGGAAACAAAAAAAATGATAACGAATGATTATGAAGTAAAGAGCTGTCTGTATCCTCTGGTCTCATGTGCAGGAATGAGAGCTCTATGTTAGTTTTTTGTCATTAGCAGGACTTCTCTGGTTTATTCCAGTTTCCCGCCATCCTATTCTGAATGACATGTTCTTCCAAATCTCAGCACAAGCATTTGACTGGCTGTTTGCCTGTGCTGTGGGTAGGTGTTGTGAGCATGGCAGGTAGTTCAGGTAGGTGGCAAGGCTGAGCTCACTGGGTGAAGGATGCATTGAGAAAGGGTATGACTAGGAAGCTCATGGGAGAGGGGGGCTATCTTGTCTGCTGGGAAGTCCAGGGAAGGCTTCCTGGAAGAGATGACATTGTCCCAGGGTTGCAGAGGTTGAATTGCATTTGGAGCTCAGGAGTAAGTAGGTAAAGAGATGGTGCTGTAGGGTAAGGCCATGTCAGCATTTCTGTTTGGCCAGCGGTGAGCCTGAGTCAGCAACCCTGTGCGTAGATGCCTTGAGCCATCTCAGGAGCTCACGCCTGGGCAGAATCTTTGGGGTTTGTGGTCAGACCGTTTGTGGTTTTTAAAAGTTGCCCAGATGATGCTGATTCAGAGGGCCGTGAGCAGCTGAAAGCACAGGCCATTAGGAGCTGTGAAATACAGCTGGGAGGGAGCTGGAAAGGGAGTTCTGAGGCTCCCGTGTCAGGCCAAGGACGTTCTCACTGTGACCCACAGGTCTAAAGGGACCTCTGAAACCTTGATTGGTTTCCATTGTGCTCACGCCAGGGTAGCTGCACATGTTTTGAGTCCTTTTCGGGCAATAGGAAAAGTGGGGTGCAGAGTGTGTGCTTGGGTTGATCATCGAGAGTGTTATTGATTCATTGCCTCTTCCCTGGGGTGGGGTTTAATCTCTGATTTGGACTTGTAAACAGAATTGTTGAAGTTTTTGTAATGATTTCTTTCTCTTCAGGGGAGTTGGCTGCATCTTTGTTGAGATGATTCAGGGAGTCGCCGCATTTCCAGGAATGAAAGACATTCAGGATCAACTTGAACGAATATTTCTGGTAAGTTTTACACAAAGTGCTTCTCGGAAAACTGTGTCTCTAATTAGTTACTTAATGACTTAATGATCTGCCGGAAATATTTTAAAACATGTTTGTCCGTGTTGTCACATTTGCTTTTGCCTTTAAGAAGCAAGGAATTCATGGACAAGTGTGCCTTTAAATTATCTTATGTGAATAAAATGAAAGAATTGTAAGAATGAATGAGATAAGAGGAGTTAATAGAATGATGTACTGTAATTAATATGCAGGCATAATGGTTTCAAATAAAGTATGTAGAGATCCACAGACTTCCAAGAAGATGGGGCTCATCTAGGCCCTTTCCATGCCTGCACAGTAGGCTTCGATTGTGAACTGTCTGTAACGTTGAATGTGGAGAATGGTAGATGTGGGGGGCATGGTGACCAGGCAGAGGAAACAGCCAGGTCTTTAAGACTGTTCTTGGGTATAAGAAGTCACATGGTGGCAGGTGAGGAAAACAGCGTATCCCTGTGTCATCCTCCTCAAACTATAACTCCTCTCTAACTATGAAACCAAAAGGCAAGACATTCTACAAAATTCCCTCCGCACACTCTTCAAACCTTGTTATTGTCGCCAAAAACAAGGGACGTCTGACAAACTATCATGATCCGGGGGACACTCAGAGCACGTGACAGCCCCGAGGACAGTGGTCGCAAGGGTGGATCTCTGGATCAGCAGAACACAGTGGGGAAACCAGAGGAATGTACTTGAGGCTGGGGCATAGCTAATGTCCATGTATAAACGTGCGTGTTTGTTTGTTGCAAATCTATGGGTAAAACTTGAACAAGAGAAGCTGCGTGAGGGTATTCAAGAACTCTTACTAATATTTTTGCAATCTTTAAATGATTTTGAATTTTTTGTAAAACTGAGTTTTGGCAAATCTGTTGTATCGAGGCAGCTTGTCTGTGACTATCCTGTTCTGTCTTGTTTTGTCTCGGTGTCTTTGGGAAAGGCCTCCCTCACTTTCTGAAATTGTTCCCTCATAGATGAAAGAGGTATGTGAACAGAATGCTTCTCAGAGGTCCCTTTGAGGAACCATCAACTTAGGAATAGAAAGTGCTTCTTAAGTCCTGTCATACAGTAAGCATGGGCTGCGTTAATTATAGCATTCTCATGGCAAGCAGCTTCATTCGGTGGAATTTTAATGTTAGGCGGTAGTCAGAAATATATTGTTTAAAACACAGAATACTATGTAGATAAATTAGAGATTTTATTAAAAGTATTTAAACTAAACACATTGCCATAGCACACATGCCCATAACTCTCTTTACTTACGAAACTAGCTGTGAAAACACTGAGGTGGGTTTTTAGTGTAGGCCATGTCAGGTGATGGACTGGCACTCACTCTGGAGATGGGAGTTCTCCCCTTCGGTATAAGAAGGACAGGAGGATCCTGTCCATAGATTGAGACTCTGCCACCCCTATGTCTCCCTCACTGTCAGCTATGAAATGACGGGAAAAGAGACTGGAAACAAAGGGATTCCACCACGCAGCGTCCCCTCTTCTGGCTGCTCTGTGATGACCAACGGGAGACTAGGAGGTCTTTCTTCAAAGAGCTGAAGGGCTGAATTTTCTCTCTCTCCTGGAGGTTATCTTTATCTCGCTCTTTCCGTGTTATCACACGTTCTGTCTGCCGTGCTGAAGTGGACTCTCGCGACTACAGAATCATGCGTTTTATAAAGGAAAACCTCCATAACGTCCAAAAACATAAAACCTGAAGTGTCAACCTCTATGCCTCTGTGCTCCCACTCACACAAAACTGCGTTTTGTGTTTTGATATGTACGTGCCATTGAATTTCTTTATATATGCTTTACAATTTGATCATGTCTTGTCTGCCATTTTGTAGCTCCCATTTTCATTTCATAATATGTAATGAACACTTTTCATTGGAGAAAATTTTGAAGCATCATCATTTTTAATGACAGAATGTCTCACTGTATGGATGAGACACTATGTATCTGATCTATTATTTTTAAAAAGCTGCTAGAAGCTACATTGTATCCCTATGAAGACTATTATTAGAATTGAAAAAATTCTCAATGTACTGAAGTATATTTTCATAAATTTGTTGAATATTCTTATATGTCCATTACTTCATCTGAACACACAAAGCTCCTCATCTACTTTTACTCATCAAAATTCCTTATTTTTTTTCTTTGAACTGTGTTGGGTCTCTAGATTATTTGAGAAACAAGTAATACAATATTGAGCTACTTCTCCTAAAAAATAAATTATTCATATAATGTATATGAGTCATAATATGTGAATAATATAATTTTTTAATTTTTTGGATTTATGTCATATTTAAGAGTGATCTGCTTGCATGTATGTCTGTGTACCACATGTTTTCATAGTGTCTGCAGAGGTCACGAGAGAGTGTTGGATTCCTTGGTACGGAGTTCTGGACAGGTATAAGCTGCTCTGCAGGCACTAGGAATCAATCCTCTAGAAGAAGAGGTATTTTAACCACTTACCATCTGCCCATCCCAGTCAGTTTAGTTGTTGTTATTGTTTTGGGTTTCATACAGTCTAGCATTGCCTCAAACTCTTTATGTAGATGAGGGTGACCTTGATTTTCCTGTTCCATCTCTCAACTGCTAGGGTGGCAGGTGTGGGCCACCATGCCTAGTTTTATACAGTACTGGGGTCAACCCTAGGACTTTGTGTATGTTGACAAGTGCTCTACCAACTGAGCTATGTATTCAATTCCACGTGTGTAACCTTATAAACATATGTTTGTTTTCTGTTTTCTATAATCTTCAAATTCATTTAAGCAGTTTATCCATAAGGATTCTTTTCCTTTTATTCCTTTTGCCTGTTTCTAAATATGATGTGTGGTGTGGGACAATTCTGTATTCTGTCAATTATGTTTTAAATAAACGCTGATTGGCCAGGCAGGAAGTATAGGTGAGAAAACCAGACAGGAAATAAAGGTGGGGCAATGAAAACAGGAGAATGCTGGGAAGGAGGAAGCCCATTCCTCTATAGTCCTGCCCAGATCATGGAAGAAGCAGGATGTGGCCTGCCCTGCTGAAAAAGGTACTGAACCATATGGCTAACATAGATAAAAATAATGGGTTAATATAAGCTGCAAGAGCTAATGAGAAGCCTGAGTTAATGGGTCAATCAGTTTAACTTATGGAGACCTCTGTATGATTTTCTTTGGGGCTTACTGTCTGTGGGAACTGGGCAGGACAGAAACCCCAACAAGCCAGCCCTCATGTTACAGATGTGTGCGTGCATGTTCATATGTGTGGAGGTGGCTGAGTGTGCATGTCTGTATACGAAAGTATGTGTGGAGGGTCAGATTTGATATCGGATTCTTTCTGGATTTCTGTTCCGTCTTATTCTTTTGATGCAGGCTGTTTTAATCTAAATGGAACTCACCCTAAGGCTCGTCTTGTTTTGGGGATGCCCTGACTCCATTATCAGAGACTGGAGGTAGAAGCATGCCAGTGGGCATGCCTGATGCTTAGGTGGACCCAAACTTCACTAGTTCCTGTAGCAACTGTTTTAGCCACTGAACCATTTTTACATATTTTGTGACTGTATGAAACAATTGCAAAAATCATTTTAATGAGGTATTTTTATATATTATCTATACACATGCTAAATCATGTCTAAATATTTAACCTTCAGATTTAATATCTGTCTATAGTCATTATATAACTCAGTTACATTTTGAGACTAATTTCTAGTTACATTCTAGACATTTCTAGTTAACTTTTAATTCTGGATCCTATCAAACAATAATTATATAACCTTTCCAAATTTTAAAATTAGTATTTTGCTAAAATAATTACTTTCCTATACTTAAAATGAGGAAGTTAGGTGTATCACCTTTTTAACGTCAGCACTTGGGAAGCAGAAGCAGAAGGATCAGGATTTCAAGGCCAACCATGGCGACAGAGCAAGTTCAGGGCCACTCACCCTGCTACCCGAGACCTGATCTCAAAAAACTATTAAATAAATAAATGACAAAGCATAAAAGGGACTAGTTTCTTCTTGTATATTATTTCAGGATGAGATTAAAAAAAACAATATGAATGGTGATATAAATGAATTATATGATAAAGCAATGAAACTAAGAAGTTGAGTTTCACAACAACAAATTCTTACTGGAAATGTTTGTCTAATGCAAATAATTCACATCAGGGAGCATTTATTGGATCTCTTTCTGTATGGATATTTAGCTCCTATTTCTTAATTTTATGGCAATGCTTTTCTAATTTTATGGGTATCCAGAGACATTTGAGCCCTGGCGAGGCTTTTAATAAGCCAGGAAAATAAATCATTACAAATTTCCCGTGGGACTATTGATGTAGCAAGTCATGATTGGCTCTTCTTAGAGCATGGAGACCTGTGAATACAGATAACATCATGACTATTGGCAATAATGGTTTCATTTCCCATATGTACTTGAGGGACATAATACTCTTTAAGATGAAATATCCTTTGATCATTAGGAGCTGAAGATCATCTGTGGAAGATTACTGGTTCAGAATTAAATGACCATATATTTTGCCTAGAAGAATTAGACAGCAATCAAACTAAGAAATCTAGGAACTTTGGACATCACATGTTATAATCTTACGTATTGTATAATCTCCCCTGGATTGTTGATGTTTGTCAATGAGGCTGTATAACATGCTCAGAAAGCCACTCTCAGGACTCTGTGATCACTGGATAAGGACATTGAAGTAACTCAATAAGGGAAAAATTGCTTTTCCTCTCTGAGCTTTTATATCTCGCCTAAATAGAAAGGCTGTTAATTGGGAATTAAATCCCCTTTAACAGGCATCTACTTGAAACTGCGAAACCTCTTTTCTAAAGTGGCAGGACTCTGGGAAAGCTTTGCCAAGGAGAAATCAACTTTGAAAGTCATGAAACATGATGTTATTAGGTTTATTTGGCTTCTTAATTTTGAAATTAAGCCCTTTATTTTCCTGTGAGCTGTATATACAAAGGTGGTTGATAACCT